GACCCGCGGGGCCCCCCCCCCCCCCCCCCCCCCACCCCCACCCCCCCGCTGCTCCAGCGCCCTGGGCCTGCGCCCCGTCGGAGCCAACGACGGGAGACCGGCAACTCTGCTGTGGACAGCGTCCACTCTGCTGTGGCCGGTCACGGCGCTCAGCGCTCCCAGGTTTCTGACTTGTTTAACAAAAATAGCAATAATTGTATTTATAGCAACTGCAACCAGAGTGACGCGTTTTGGACATCGCCGCGGCCGTCGTGCACAGTGCCTAAACTATTGGGAAATACATTGACACATTTAGGACAACCACTCTAAGGGCATCGTGTCACCTCTGCTTAAAACTCTCCAAAGATGTCCCCAGACTAAAGCCCAAGTCCTCTCTGCAGCCCACAGGGTCCTTCACAGCCAGCCCGGTCCCTCTCGTCCTCCCTCCTCCCTCTGCGCTACGGCCACCTGGGGTCTTCGAGAGCCCCCAGCATGCCAGGCTGGGTCCTGCCCAGGGCTTTTGCCCTCTGTGCCCTCTGCTGGGGACACCTTCCTCCACAGGGTGCAGGATTCCCTCCTTGGGTCTCCCACTCCCCTTCCGCCACCATTACCTCTTTTCATGGCCTCCCTTTCTCTTCTGTAGCATTTATACTCACTTTAAATTGTATTTTGCTCTAATGAGACAGATATTGGCTTGATGTTGACAAACCACCTAGCTCCTGGCATGCGCCAGGCTCTGTGCTAAGTGCTTGCTGTGTACTAGGTCATTCGATCCACATGGCAAACCCGGGAGGTGAATACAAATAGAGAAGCAGACTTGTAGGACCTGCCACATATGACGAGGGGCGCCGGGGCAGGTGAGCAGAGAAATGGCTGCAGGAGGAAGTCAGGGAAGGTGCTGGGGAACTCAGGGCATGAGTGGAGAGGCGATGCAAGGGCCCTGGGGCAGGAAGCTCCTGTAGCTGACATGAGCTCTTAATGTGGCATCAGCATCAGGACTAGGGAAAAGTGGGTGGGGGGTGTCTTATTTCAGACCCAAAATTCAGCCATCAAGATAAATAATGTCCCATGGCACGGATAGACTACATTTTGTTTCTAGTCCATCCACCTGGAGCGGCCCTCAGCCACCAACAGGAGCGAGGTGACAGCTGCAGCATAGATGGCCCTAAGGACCTCGTGATCAGTGAGAGCCAGACACACAGGTCACAGCGGGTGACTCCGGGACAGGAGTCAGGGGAGTCCAGAGAGGATGTGGATCACAGGTGCAGAACTGGGAGGGACAGAGGGGGGGGCTGCTCATGGGGCAGGGCCTCTTTTTGGAGTGATAGAAGGTTCTGGAATTAGGTGGTGGTGATGGTGGTACAACCTGGTGAACATACTAAAAACCACAGAATTGTGAAAAGAAATCTTGAATGAAAAAATGTAATGCAATAGTTTTAAAGAGAGAGGGGCACAGAGGCCACACCTGTCGTCCCAGCCACTCGGGAGGCTGAGGCGGGAGGAGGGCACGGCCACGGCCGGCCCGGGCACCTTAGCAAGATTCTGTCTCAAAGCCGAATAGAAAGGGCTGGGGTGTGGCTCGGGGAGGCGCAGCCCAGGGCCATCCCCAGACCAGGACAAGGAACCACGCGTAATAGGAACACCCGCAGCCAGCCAGGCCCCGCTCAGGACGGAGTCGAGGTCAGCGTGGCCGGGTGTCCTTTTGACTCAGCACCACCCTGGGACTGATCGCGGATTCGTTTTTATTTTAATTTTTAAGTGTTTCTTCATTCAAGTTCCTTGTTTTTATTTTAAATTTAAATTTCTAATAGACTGCAGCAGTGCCAGAACCCTCGTCAGCCACACCAGTTCTGTCTTTATTTAAAACCGTGACATTTTGTTCAGCACAGATTTGGGGGGAAGCATTAATTTCAATTTTTTTTTTAAATCACACTGAATTGTTCGTTGTCTGTCCTCCCCTCTTTTGGGGGTGGGGGTACTGGGGATTGAACTCAGGGGCGCTGACCCTCATCCCCGGGCCCCTTTTTCTTAATTTGAGTTGCTGAGCCCTGCTAAGCTGAGCTGCAGATCCTTCAGCCTCTGGAGCCTGGACCACGGGATTCTGTGGTGAGTGGGGGCCCACACCTCGTTCCCACACCCTGCCCATCCTAACTGCCGTCCTGAGAGGCAGACAGAGGTGGGTCACTTGTATGAGGTCACCCAGCAGGAGCACCGAGGGTCGAGCCCAGGCAGCCCCAGAAACCACCCCGATCCCACCCTTCCCTTCGGCAGCTGCGCCTCCCTGTCCTTTCTCCCGTGGGACTAAAGAGCAGAGAGGCTCCCGACGTGTGGACTCCCTGAGGCCAGGGCTGGGCCCACCTAGGACATCTCCGAGCTGCGAACACACCAGCATCATGGCCACAGCAGCCTGGCCGCCAGGCGGGGCGGGACGTCGGGCTGGGGGGGCACAGCTGGGGTGAGAGGTGGGTTCTTCCCAAGGCAGCCCCCGCCTCGGATCTGCCAGCCGCGCTCAGGCTGGGAGAGCAGGGCCAGCCCCCGAGGCACTGGGGACTGCCAGAGACAGGCTCGTCTCCATGGAGACCCGAGCAGGATGCTCGGAGCCTGTGGGCCTGGGTGTGCAAGCTGGGAGGGTCTTTAAAAGAATCCAAAGAAACCCCCCCCCCCCCCCCCGCCCTCCCGGAGCTGCCGGGCATTTTCTGCTCAGCCTCTTCCTCTTTCCTTCACCCCCAAAAAGTGGGGGAAGGGGAAGGAGCCCAATCCAGTGGTCCGACCCCCAGGAGCGTCCAGCCAGCAGCTCTGCCTGGAGTCTGCCCCCTGGCCTGGTTGACAGCCTCAGCCGGTCAGGGGCTGTCGGTGGAACCAGGAGGCTGAGCACCGGGAGGACGTGGGGTGGCGAGGCTGACGCTCCTTTCCTATCAGCTGGAAGAGATCTGGTCACTGTCGGCCCAGTGGCAGGAGGCCCACAATGTGGATGTCAGTGAAGGAGGGGAACCAGTGACAGCAGAGCCTGGGGAGCTGGGGTGGGCTCCCAGCTGGCCACTGGGCTCCCTGGACATCCTGTCTTTACCAACCTGCCCCAGGGCCTTGGCACCTCTTAGCTCTCACCTCCTGGGCTGCTCACAGCGTTTACCGTAGGACAAACGGATCTAGACCATGGCTTCTCTGCCTCCGCGCTGTGGACAGTGGGGCTGGATGGCTCCCTGGGGGCGTTCTGGACACCGAGTGCAGAGCTGCAGCCCTGGCCTCCCATACTCCAAGCCAGGACACTCCCCACCGTAATATCACACATGTCCCCAGAAGTGGCCCAGGGTCACTGAGGCAGTCACTCCCAACTGAGAACCACGGGCTTACAGCACTGAAGAGACGTGGGACTGCTGGCCCCGGTGCCCAGGGTCTCCAGGACACCCCTCCCCTGCCAGTCCCTCTGCCTGGGCCCCAGGGTGGATTCCCGAGGCCCCAGCTCCACCTCCAGGGCTCAGCTGAGATTCGCCAGCTCCACTCTCCCAGGAGCTCCAACCCGCCCAGGGGCCTCTCCAGGCCGCCTACAGCTGCCTGTGTGTCCCCTGTCCCCAGCCTGCTCATCCTGACCTCCAGGGCCTTAGTGACAGGGGCCAGCGCTGGCTCCTGCCCAGCATGTCCCTGCTCAGCCCGGCACTGACCGCATGAGCATCAGGGGTTAAAGTGATTTACGAGCCATTTTTTAAAACTTCTCTTTGGGGATTTCTTTTCTCTTTAAATTTCAATTTTTAACATTTTAAAATTGATATTATGGGGTCCATGTGGCACTTCACACCTGGACCCGGCACAGGGACGGCTGGGCGTAACCTGCGTCTGCCGCTGGGCGTTTACCTTGGCTTTGTGTTGGGGACAAATTCCTCTCCACTAGCTATTTTGAAAAATCAATTACCTGTTGTCACCGTTGCTACCCAAGGTGATGGAGGACATTAGACGCTATGCCTCCTGTCCCTGCCCCTGGCCCGGTGGCCATCCCCTCTCATCTCTCTCTCTCCCTCACCCCCGCTCTCCTCTTCCTGCAGTAACTGCGTGGCTCTGAGACCAGAGGTCTCTGACCTGGGAAGCGGGCGTGGGCCTGCAGCCGTCACTCAGTGACTCGGGAGGCCCAGGCTGGGGGGGTGCAAGTTCCAGGCCCTGGGGTGGCTCAGGAGTGGAGGCCTGGCCAGGCCCCGGGCAGAACCACCGCCCTGGGAGCAGCCAGCAAGGGAGGGACACGGTGGAGGTTGGGTGGGCTCTGCGGAAGGGCTTGCCGGGGAAGCCGGGAAGGCGCGTTGACACGGCTCCATTCCCTGCCGGGATCCTGGAGCTCGCCACCTGTGCTGGCAGGTGATGCCTGGTCTCTGCGGGGCCAGGCATCCCGCGGGCTCAGAGCCCTGTGTCCATCGGTGATGCACCCTCCGGCCCAACGCCTGTGGAGAGAGCCCAGGAGGCCCGCTCCCTCCCCGGGCTCTGAATCGCAGGGCGGCCGAAGGACACCCTTTACCGCTTGGGTCATTTCTGAGTGCACAGGGCAGACATCACCTCAAAGCGAGGGACCTGCAGTACCACAGTGGTCTCATGGGATCGTCCACAATCCCAAAACCTCCTTGGCCT